TTGACCCCTGGTCGGCTAGCTTTCTGCTTTTTTGTCTCATTGAGTTGAAGCCAGCTGTGCCAGCTGGAAGCCTCAGAATGCATCCTCCATACAGATGTTTGAGCTTGGTTTTAAGCTTCTTGGAGAAGCTTTAGACCTTCTCCTCTATAAAGAGAAGGGCCCTCTTCCATTGCAAGGGTTCAGAATTTTTGGCCTCAAGCATACATACACTTCCCTCCATATCTCTCTCCTTCAAGCTTCAAACTCCATTGTTCTTGCATCCATTACACTACACCTCCAAGCACAACACCTCCATTATCAACCTAAGCACCTTGGAGCTGATTTTCAGAGGTTGAAGAGCTCTTACCTTGGTCCAAAAGTTGCTGGAGGTCTTCTCTACAAGGGTAAGTCACCATTTCCCTCTTTGTAGCTTTATTTTGCTTTATTCTTTAGCCTTATTTGCAAGCATTTCTGGGTTTTGTCATAAACTGAAAAGTTTTGTTTTGAGCTTATAAACATGTTTGTTTAAGACTTTTTTTCTATTTGGGGTCATCTTCCCCTTTGCATGCTTCATTTCCTCATGTTTAGGGCTATGCATTAGAGCATTTGTATTGGTATTGGTTTGACCTTTTGGCCACTGAAATCTAGTGGATTTTCAGTGGCTAACATGTGTCTTTGAGCTTCAAAATCAGAGAGGGGTGACCCTCTCACCCCTTGTTCTCTTTACTAGCTTTGTTGGCCTTACAAAGGAGCTCCTACTTGCATGTTGTGAAGTCACATTTCAGGCCTTATTTGGTGAGTTTTAAGGTCTGCCTTGGCTCTGTCTAGAGCCCATTTTGCCATATGAAGTGTCTATTTTGCATGTGTAGAGCAATCCCATCCAAGGCCTTTCAAAGGGGCTTTCATTTGCATGCTTCATAGACTAATTTTAGGGTCTTTTGGTGGGTTTTAGCACCCTCATAACCTCTTTCTAGAGGCCATTTTTCCATTTTGTGTGTCCATCATACATGTGTTAAACAACCCTCTTATTGGTCTCTCAAAGGAGCACCTCATTCTAACATGCATTGACTGAGTTTCAATGGTTATTTGGGCATATTTTAGCATGGCATACTTCTTTTTTTTGGCTGGTTTGGTGAGCCCTCATGTGCTTCATATAGCTATAGTGTAAATCATGGTTCACTAGCTTTCTTTGCATGCTTTGTTGACCCTTGATTCTAGCACATTCTGGCCATGCCTTAAATTGATTTTTTGCATATTTTGGACTGCCCTAGCTCTGTTTTTGGGTCTCATGGTCGAATGGTGTTTGTTTTGCATGCTTGTGGTTCAATACGCTTGCTTAGCTTTGAGTTTTGGGGTCCATTACATGTATATACTGAGGTGTGTTCATGTTTTGGACCCATTATACATCATATTTCAGAGCTTGTTTGAATGCCATATTGTCATGTTTTATACTCTTTAAATGCGTCTGAGAGTCAGGCTTGTATGCCTCATTTACCGACCATTAAATGAGCTCCATTTCGCTGCATTCCGAGCCATCATTTTAGGCCATTTTCCCACTATTTCAGACCTGCCTAGGGTGTGTTTGGGGTTGATTTTTCCATTAGTGCATTGTTTCGGGTACCTCTAGAGTAACGCACTTCACTAGTTTCGATACCCGGGCCCCCTAGCTTGCATTGTGTGCCATGTTTGCTTGTTTCGGGACCATTTTATACCATGTTTCAGAGCTAGAATTTGTGTGTTTGTATTCCATATTGCATCCTTTTCCATGCTTTGGTAGAATGGCATTTGATGCCTTAGGATCGATCCCTTGCATCGTGTATGTTTGCATGTGTTTCGGTTGTCTCATTTCCATCATATGGCCACTAATGTAAGTGTGGCTGAGGTCCACTCATGTTGGTGTAAGTCCATCGTGCATCGTGTATGCCATTTTAGTCCATTGCGTATGCTAGGTTGCATATTAGAGCATTGTGTATGCCATGTTACATCACGTGCATCATGTATGCCATTTTAGTCCATAACATTGCGTATGCTAGGTTACATGTTAGTCGCATTGTGTATGCCATCTCATTTGCATTGTGTTTGGGATAGGAGTTAGCCCCCGAGCACAGGAAACGAGGGACGTTTCATACTCCAAGTGACGGAACGTGTCTCAATTCCCGGTCGCCGACACTCCGGATTAACCATGATAGAGTCTAGCCGTTGTTGTGTTTCTATGTGCATTCATTTCACATCGAGTCGTGCAATTTGACTCATCGGCCATCGTGCATCGAGATGCGTGATTGGTGGCACGAGTATCGAGGTATGCATACATATGTGAAAATACTTTGCCATGCCCCTTTCTTGCTCTCTATTGCAGCAAATCAGAAATTAGTAACTTTCTAAAGCCTTGCACAGCATTCCGGGATTAATTGCAAACAGAGGCGAATCAAGGCATCTCAATGGATTTCTGCGCAATGCAACTCGAGCATGCATCTTTCATCATTCAGAACAGAGCTGAGGCGGTCCATGAATTTGCATGCTAGTTTATTTGCTTTCCTAGTTAATTTGTTAATTAATTAGGGTTTTGTAATATTTAATCATTCATTCGGACTGTAATTATTAATTCGGACTGTATTATTTATTCGGACCCTTCGAGCGAGGGCAATGTTGTAATAAGTGTGCGTGAGTGTGATGTATGTCTTCCAACTCTACTTCTTTCTCCCTTTTATTTACCAGCTTATGATAGCTAGATTAGGGCATGTTTCAATTAGCATACTTATGCTCGCATGTTTGCATCCATTCATCTGTCTTGCATGCACCGGGCTCGGCGCATCATACTAACTGCATCATATTTCAAATCCAAGTTGAATACGTGTTAGCTATAGCATCTCATATGCCATTCTTAGAATAGCCAAGCCTATTATAGTTGCATTTTTTTGCATGTGTTGCATTAGGCATCTCAGCATAGTTAGGATCCATGCATGTTTTCTAATTAGCTTCTTTCTTTGGCTTGGAGTGCTCGGTAAGTATTTATGCTTTAGCATCCTTGCATATGTGTGAATAACTGCCATGATAGCATGCTTACCATGAGGCTAATTACTTATGTGATATATCTGCCTGAGTGCCTGTGGGTGAAGGTTGGATTATCTAAATTGGAATAATGCATTGACTGTGAGTTTTAAGCCCACTAGATAATGGCAAAACCATGTTTTCTAAGCCCACTCGAGGGTGGCAAAACCTGCATTTTAGCCTACTTGCGAGTAGCAAACCATTTTCGAAACAAACATGAGATTTTGTTCAAATTCAGGCGATCCATTCTATATTTGTATGTTGTGCGCATAGGCTAATAACTAGAATAAGAGCACATAATATTTTCAAAACTTGATATCATGGTTAGTAGAGGCCAATCTTTGATCGGGCGAGTGGGGGTGCTCACGAAGTGACCTTCTCCAATCGTACCCCAGTTCCCGAGCCAAGGCAACTTTGGTGATGACGGACACGTGGCCTTAGGCAAACGAGTCAGGGTTTCCTAAATTTCCCAAAATAAAATATTTAGGTGGCGACTCTGTATCTGGCAAAGCAGTCCATGTTTGGCACTTCTTTCAAAAAAAATCTGTTTTCAAAAATGATTTGCCGGATTTGGACTCTTTGATGATTCATCGGTCTTGCATTGCACTCTGCGAGATTAGATACAGTTTTCATGACATTTGAGTCCTGAACTGTAGTGAGCCCATAATGAACAAAACAGGATTTCCCCCCTCCCTCGGAACGTTCGGGGACGTCTACACCTTGGAATTGCCTCAGTACACATCATCTCCTTGGACCGTTGTGTGTACCTCTTTTTAGGGAGGCATGAGACGCCATCGTTCAGTCCTTGAGGTGCCAGCGGTTGGTTATAGGCCTGCTTCAAGGTTTTGACTTGGTTGGCGAGTTCCTTAAGCTGCTAATTTATAATGCATATGGTTTGGTCGCGACTGGTCAATTCTTGCATCCAGTTGTTGTTTTCAAAGTTTTCAATAGTGAGTAACTTCCTCTCTTCTTGCTCACGTTGTTCTTGCGATGTTCCGGCATTCAAAGGACGCCTCTGTTGGCTTGGGGAGAGGTTTCCATCATATTCGCCTTTGGTGAATTGGTTGGCGTCTTCCGCCGTCATAAATAGACTGGAATCTTAGCAGATGGAGCAAGGCTTTTAGCTGTAGGATTCCCACAAACGACGCCAAATTGTGGTGGGCAAAAATCGAACTACTAGGCAGCGGCGATGACACGACGGATGTAGCTCGATTCCTAACTTGAAAAATACTTAGAGAAAGGTAAGAGGGGTAGCTGGAGCAGCCTGGGAACCCTCTGATGCCTAAGTCAGAGACAAAGTTGACAAAGGTGCTAGATTCTAATAATAGGGTTTAGGTCAAAGTGAATGTCTACCTCAATGGTGCTAACTGCTTCCCCTTTTGTAGTTGGCTCCTCCTAGCTGTTATGGGCTGTTAGATCTCTTCCCACTCCTCACATTGACACTATTTCTTTAGGGATTATGTTCCACTAGATGCGAATTTCTAGGTGTTGGTTGAGCCTAAGATGGAGGACGTGGGTTGACTAGGTTTGTGCCCTTCATAGGCGTGTTTACTGCTGCCTTTTTTCTGTCTTAAAATTCCCTGACCTGGTCTAGTCCTGGGCCTTCAGGCCAAACCCAAATTATCCTGGGCTAACTTTCCATTTTGCTAGTGTTATGACCTTCCGGTTGGTAGTCCAAGACTTTCAGACCTACCCTAGCCTGATTTGTTTTAGCTTCCGCAGAAGTCACAAGAGAAGTGAAAAGTTAAGTGAAATATAATGCTATTCAAGCTGACAAATCTCACAATCGCACATTTTTATTTGGTCCAATCACACACGGATGTGATGAAGACAAGAACGAGATGAAAGAAATATATTTAGATCATAGATTTAAGTAATGATTTAGAAATAGAAAAATATATATATAAATATACAAATTACATGGTGTAGTCCACATATATGGCTATAGAGAAATTGTTCTCAATGCAATAAACATGAATGAAATGGATACAACCAATATCCACCCTTTCACCGAAAATTTATCCATGGGAACAACTAATTTTGTTGGTTTTATTTATATTCAACTGTTTCATGAATTCCACACAAATGCAAAGTTATCATATGGGATCAATAGTTCCTTCATGGTACTTATCCCTAAGAGGGATAGTCCTTCAGGATTAGGAGATTATAGACCTATTAGCTTGGTCAGTTCCATCTACAAGATCTTGGCCAAGGTGTTGTCTAAAAGAATAAAGCAAGTACTCCCAGCTGTGATTAGTGAGGTGCAGTCAACATTTGTTAGTGGTAGACATATATTGGATGGAGTGCTGATCGCCAATGAAGTTATAGATGGGTGGCACAGAGCTAGGAAGAAGGGAATTATCTTGAAGTTGGATTTCAAGAAAGCCTATGATTCGTTAAGTTGGGATTTTTTGCTATCTATGTTGGGGAGTTTTGGCTTTGAGGCAAGGTGGGTTAGGTGGATGAAGACTTGTGTTACAACAACTATGGTGTCTGTATTAGTTAATGGTTCACCAACGGAGGAGTTTCAACCACAAAAGGGGTTAAGGCAAGGTGACCCTATATCTCCTTTTTTGTTCATTATAGCAACTGAGGCCTTAATCTTTTGTTGGGTAGGGCTATTGAGAAGGACTTATTTAAGGGAGCATCAGTAGGTTCTGATCAGCTGGGCATCTCTCATCTTCAATTTGCTGATGACACCATCATTTTTTGTGAAGGAGGCACGGAAGAAGTTTTCAATATTAAAAGGGTTTTGAGGTGTTTTGAGGTGATCTCTGGTTTAAGGATAAATTTCCACAAAAGTGTGGTTTGTGGGGTGGGTTTTAATGAAGACCAAACCAAGGAGTTCGCAAAGGTGCTCAACTGTCTGCCTAGTAAATTGCCTATTAATTTTTTAGGTTTGCCCCTTGGAGAAAATCCTAGAATGAAGAGCACTTGGGATCCTATAGTGGCAAAATTTCAGAAGAAGCTTTCTTCTTGGAAAATGAGATTGTTGTCGTATGCAGGTAGATTAACTTTGATCAAATCGACCTTGTCTAATTTGCCTATCTACTTCCTGTCAATCTTTAAAATGCCTAAGGGAGTGGTAAAAGCAATTTCTAAGATTCAAGCAAATTTTCTCTGGGGTAGTTCTGCTGCCAGCAGGAAGGTGCACATGGTTAAATGGAAGGAGGTCACAAAAGGTAAGAATCAAGGTGGCTTGGGCATAAGGGACTTAGGTGTGGTCAATGAGTGCTTGTTGCTAAAGTGGTGGTGGAGGTATGGTAGTGAGGATAAAGCTCTGTGGAAAGAAGTGATCTGCTGTAGGTATGGTAAAATGGGCAGGGGATGGTCTCCTTTGTTGAGTCATCCAGTAGGGGTCTCACTGGTTTGGAAGGATATTTCACAACTTTCTACAGTTAATCAGCAATTGGGAGAATTTTTTGGAGAACAAGTTCAATTAATAGTTAGCAATGGGAGGAGAATAAAGCTTTGGTACGATCCTTGGTTAGGTGGCAGAGGGCTGAAGGATGAATTTACTAGGTTGTTTAGTTTATCCATAGAGAATGAGGATTCCCTACAGCAGATTAGTGCAAAGATTGGTGCCTCAGGTAGGTGGCAACTTCAATTCAGAAGGCCTCTCCTAGCTTGGGAAGAAGAGGAGCTGCAGAGGCTGGTAGGTATGCTGCTCTTCACTCCTAGGCTCAGGGATGGGGTTGAGGACTCCTGCTCCTGGCTAGCAGAGAAGTCAAGTCAATTCACTGTTGCCTCTATATGGAGATGGAGGGCAGTAGCTAGTGGAAATAATCTGGTGGTCCCAGCAGGGGTTTGGGAGAGCTTGGCCCCTCCAAAGATGCAATTCTTCTGTTGGTTGGCTTGGCGTGGCAGAGTTAAAACTTCATCCTTTCTTCAAAGAATTGGCGCTCTTCATTTGGGTGCTAGTAATTTGTGCGTTTTTTGCCAAGCGGAGGTGGAAACTATTGAACATGTGCTTCTAATGTGCCCTTTGGTATGGAAGTGCTAGTCTCACATGGTAGAGTGGTGGGATCAGACTTGGGCTATTCCAGGTTCTATACAAGGTCTGGAGCAGTGGTGGAATGGGAGCAGACAAAATCTCAAGTCTTGGGTACTCAAAGTTTGGAAGATTATTCCCTCTGTAGTATTATGGTCAGTTTGGAGGCTGAGAAACCAATGCTTATTTAAGGATACTATTCCTGATATACAAGTTCTTTGCGAACAAGTGAAGGTGCAAGTAGCTTTGTGGACCAAATGGCACTTGAAGGTGGAGTATTCAGTCCATGATTTAGTGTCCAACCTCTACCAGATCAAGTGGCAGTAAGGTTCAGAGCAGTAGAAGGTTTGATGTCTATATGCTGGTTGTATATCTGGTTGTAGAAGTTCAGAGCAGTAAGGTTCAGATCAGTAGTGGTTTGTGCAGATGGGTGTAAATCTGGTGTGTGGTAGGCCTAAGATGGTTTGACTCTAGCCTGATGTATGCCTGGTTGTCTGCTGTATATGGAGGATGGGTGGGGGGTAGTACTTAGTGTGTGAAGTTCTTAGATAGTCTGCAGGTAGTGTTGTCCTTTACCCAGAGCTCCCCTGTTTTGCTGTTTGTTTGGAGGCTCAGTTGGTTTGAGTGGCTGAAGTTGAACAGGTTTTTGTGGATATCGGTGTTGTCTGAGCAGGTCCTCTAAGTTGTTCATATTGTGGAATTCTACAATGTTGGGGCAGCACATGCTTGGTTTAGTTGTGTATCTGTGAAGTATGTTTCTGAAGTAGGGTCAGTGGATTGATCTGAAGTAGGTTTGTGGATGCTTGTTTGTCACTGGTTACTGAGACTCTAATCTGTCCCAGCTATATGTTGTCTATGTCTCTGGTGCTGTATTGGTGTATGCTTCTACTGCCTTGGGCTCTGATTTGGGGTGCTGTAGGTTTGAGTGGCTGCTGGTTGTATTTGAGGTCTGTGTTGGTAGCTTTTAGCTGTGCAGCGAATGGGTATTATAGCTGTTGGTAGTTTTTTGGCTACAGGGGAGCGGGTGTAGTTAGCAAGACTGGATGGTTTGAACTGTCATTCAGTTTTGTTTGAGTACTGCTGCTGAATCTGTTGTGCAATGGGTTGCTACTTGGATGCTCAGTTCAGTTGTGCGATGTGCGATGGGTTGCTCCTTCCAATGGGCCTGTTGTTGAATCTGTTTAGATCTGCTGATGCTTGTGTTTTTATTTTCTTTCTGGGCATGGATTCTCTCCATCCCTTGTGGTTGAGCTCGCAGATGATTGAGTTTTCTTCTCGGTGCCAACCTAGTTGGGATTGGGTTTGTTAGCTATGATGCGCTTTTGCTCTCCCATCTCTTTATTGATGTTCATCTCATATGTATTTGTATGTTATTTGTCATCAATAAAGTTCTCTTTTGCTGATCAAAAAAAAAAAAGTCGTTCAGTCTTCAAATTCAAGCTAATGGCATTGATGGTTCACAATTTTCACCTCCACGGAAACTAAGGACTGATGAAATTCCTCTAGTTTTTTTTAATGATTTCAAACTCGCTGCAAAGAATGCAATTGAAGCTGGTAAGTTTGTGGCTATATTCTAATTTTAATGTAAAGTCAAGTTGGTATTATTATTAAACATGTCAGACTTTTAAGATGATAAAAAGAGATTGCAAATTTGCAAATTTCTTTGGTTTGTAGCTTCTCTAGTGTAGTGTAATGACATTAAAAAATTGAATGAACCTTGCTTTTGACATTAAGCTCTAATTTGTATTTTGCTTTAACTACTTTTTAGTTTTGATTGTCTAATTGTTATATGCTCTAGAGACATTTAGAATTTAATGACTAACAATTTGTATATATATTTTGGCATTCAATTTCGTGAACAACCTTTGGGTCACCTGTTGTTTTAAGAATAGGACTTCTTGACACTAGATTCCTCAAATATAGCCACATCTGATATTGTTCTTGCAATGGCTGTCAATGACTCGGATTCCTCTGAGTTCTCTATAGTTGTGTATCTGTGAAGTATGTTTCTGAAGCAGGGTCAGTGGATTGATCTGAAGTAGGTTGTGGATGTTTGGCTGTCACTGGTTACTGAGACTCTGATCTGTCCCAGCTATATGCTGTCTATGTCTCTGGTGCTGTCTTGGTGTATGCTTCTACTGCCTTGGGCTCTGATTTGGGGTGCTGTAGGTTTGAGTGGCTGCTGGTTGTATTTGAGGTCTGTGTTGGTAGCTTTTAGCTGTGCAGCGGATGGGTATTATAGCTGTTGGTAGTTTTTTGGCTACAGGGGAGCGGGTGTAGTTAGCAAGACTGGAAGGTCTGAACTATCATTCAGTTTTGTCTGAGTACTGCTGCTGAATCTGTTGTGCGATGGGTTGCTACTTGGATGCTCAGTTCAGTTGTGCGATGTGCGATGGGTTGCTCCTTCCAATGGGCCTGTTGCTGAATCTGTTTAGATCTGCTGATGCTTGTGTTTTTATTTTCTTTCTGGGCATGGATTCTCTCCATCCCTTATGGTTGAGCTCGCACATGATTGAGCTTTCTTCTCGGTGCCAACCTAGTTGGGATTGAATTTGTTAGCTATGATGCGCTTTTGCTCTCCCATCTCTTTATTGATGTTCATCTCATATGTATTTGTATGTTATTTGTCATCAATAAATTTCTCTTTTGCTGATAAAAAAAAACAATGTGGTTTGCTTCTCCTAAGAGGAAAAAAAAAAAAGTAAAGTACATGACTTTTTTAGACTATAATCTTAAAAAATACATGACTTTTTTAGACAGTAATCTTAAAAAATAGTATCGGTAAAAACAACCTATGAAGTAATGTTCTTCTTTGTTAAACCAAATTAAGAGTGGAAGTGAGATCTCGTATCCAAGCTTGAGAGTTCATAACTTCTTTAACTAATACCATTACACCTAAAGATTGTTCTTCTTTTGGCGAAACATTTATAAACGTGAACTTGATCATAAGAGATGACCTCTCACTATAAGAAAATAAAGTTTATTAATGTTTAGCCTCTCTAGAATGGTTCTGAATGCATCGATCTAAGCCCTAAAATTTAAGCCTTCAAATATTTTTTAGTCTTTGTAACTGAAATTCTAAGCATTTATGTATTTGTGCCTAAACTCCAAAATTTAAGCCTTCAAATTAAATCCAAGTAATTGCTTCAATCTCACACACTCAACTAAAAAAAACCTATCAACTCAATATAGACATTGGAGATTTTGTTTATTGAAAATAACCAACTTAACTAAAGCTATACTAACAATAACATAGAAATTTACAAATGGCTTTGTAGATTTCGGATTTTATAGGCTAATCGGTTCAAATGAAATTAGAAACTGCATGAACTACAATGCACAATCAAAGGAAACATTACTATATGCCTATTAATTTAAATTAAAGTAATTCTGTGATAACCAATTTTTTTTACAAAAATAAAATATGTATATAGAAATTAAGACAAGAATAATGTGATATGACAATGATATTTTTGTAATAATGAATCTTTGTAATGGTCATTTTGACTTCCAATAAATGGACATAAATGAAACCCATTATGTATGATTTTTTTTATATTCAAATTATATTTGTATAACGTTACTCAAATTTTAATATTAAATATGTTTATTATTTGATGTGTTGTTGCAATGGATCGAACTGTCTATACAACACTTTGCATTAATCCAAAGTGAGTTTTATCATGTTGTTAGCTAATCTCGATAAATGTATGTGTCTTAGATAAGAACTTGAAGACTGAGCAGTTTAACTAGAGACTAGATTAAAACAAATTTGAAAGAGACATGGTGCCCAATGATTCAGACTCTCAAATTTGATATATAGTTTAAGCACTCTTTAACTGAAAAGATCATTGTCTTTTTCAATTTGCAAAAGATTATTATATTTTCAATGTGCTTAATTAGTAATACAGCTGTCCAAATCAGTTTCATGAGTATACCCCCAAATTAGAAGAAATTCCTTTAGTACACTCTAGCCATGCCATATGATGAGAATTTCAAAATATAATATAATCTCATAATACAATTATATAATCAAGAATGCATTGATTTAGAACATAAGATCTCGTGTCATCAACAAGAGCCATAAAAGAAATTGGATGTGCCAGAAGTGCAAAAGAAGATGAGAATTAATCTCTTCCAAACTTTGGTATCACTGCTGTCTTATTTAAAGGCACAGCTTTATGTCATTTTCTTAGCTCATAAGCACCAACTATTTGTTGAGACCACTTGCTGTTGGTTTGCATCAACAAATTTTGGGCTAAAATCAATGTCCTTTTAGTTCCATTCTGGCTGGACATTCGAAGTTTTAACACTTTGCCTGGTCCCTCTTTTTAAAAAACACTTTTTAAAAAAATTTATTTTCTTATTTTTCGTATTTTTTCTTACTAAATTTTTTTAATATTTTAAGCAATTTTTTTTACTTTTTAAACATACCTAACATAAATATACCTAAAAAGTAAAAAAATTGTGAAAAAAACCTTTTAAAAATTCACTAAATACTAAAAATACAAAAAAAAAATGAGAATTCAGTACATTTTTTGTATTTTTATGTATTTATTAAGTTTTTAAAATATTTTTTTACAAATTTTTTACTTTTTAGATACATCTAAGTAAGGTGCATCTAAAAAAGTAAAAAAAAAAATGTTTAAAATTTTAAAAATACTCACCAAATACAAAAAATACGAAAACCAAAAAACTCAATTTTTTAAAAATTTAATCCAAAAAACTCTAACCAAACACACTGAATGTTTTTTTTTATTATTGGTTTTGAATTTCAGTAGCAAAATCTTACTCCAAATGCATTATTATAACATTAAATATTCTATTTTTCACTCTCTCGAGATTAACCACAAGCCTTCTGTTCAATCATTATGTGATATATGTGAGATGAAAGATTAAATGTACTCAAGAAAATAGTCGGGGCAAAGTCATGAGCCCCCAAAAGAAAAATGTAAATGGGTTTTATTAATTAGTGTATTAACGAAATTAGTTAATAAAGCTTAGAAAACTTAGTTGGATCCTAATGCATATGCACAATGTTGTTTAATATTTTGCACAACCCAAATAGAGGCTGGTTTGAAAATGCAAGAGTCTTCATGGGAAGTTATCAATGAAGTCAACCACCATATGTACCACTAATTAATTCTCTTATTTAAAGACATGGCTTTATGTCAATATCTGAACCTGTAAACCTTTTCTTCTTTTTTTTCTTTCTTCAAAAGGACCTATATACCTTCACATCCTAACCAAAAAAATAATAAGGAAGGGGACAAAAAGATGTAATACATTTGTATCAAAATTGACCTAATCTCTTCTTTTACAGAGAATATGGAAATAGCTCAAAATTCCTATCTGCCTTGAAGGATTTCTCTCATTTCAAAAATAATCAACCACTTATATATCAGTTTAAAAATAATGTAAGGAAAAGACTCGCTGGCCAAAACTGTGTCGAGGCCTAATTAAATAATCTATAACTAATAAACTCCTCCGGCAATCCAGTAATTTACTCTAAATTAATTGGACTTGTTTAGTTTGTCACTCTTATACACTCTTAACTGAAAGGTCGGTCAAGAGTCAATCCTTATTAAACACCAATATTAATTGTTTATGTTCTATTTTACAGAGCCTTCGTTTAGTTATTTATTTATTATAAGACTTTTTCTTGTATTGATATAGTGATTATTGGAATTGAACTTGTGGATTTGTCCTATTAAACTTCCTTATAAAGTTAATTGTCTAATTTGATATAAATCTTTTAATACTTATAAATAATCTACTAACTTTTTAGTTGTCATTTGGCAAAAACTTTTTTAATTCACTTTTTGAGTTGAGACTTTTTTTTGTTTAGGAGTAAAAAGTTCATTTAAATTGGTTTTTTTTTTCTTTATGAGAAAAAAAATGAAATGAATATGATTTGATTGTGATATTTTATCTTATCAATTTATTTAACTTATTTTGTCTTTTATATTTTTTTTAGTCTCAATGGAATAGCCAAAGGAAGCCTTTAATATGGAATGTTATTAATATATCATGAATTAAACGTTTCTCGCAATGGTATTTTTGTCTTTTTACAATCTTATAAGATAATTGTTTCTCCCAAGTTATAACTGAGGTGACATTTTAGATTATAAGCGGCAAGGCATGCAAGTCGTTTTTTTTTTTTCGTTTTTTTTTTTTTTTTTTTTGAAGTTAAAATTTTTATAATTTTTGATTTTTTGTAAATGAATCTAAAATAAATATAAAAAAATAAACTAAAAGAAAATTTGAAAAAGTCAAAGATAAGCGAAAATGGTCCACTATTTTTTTGCTTATTTTTGTCTTTTCTAGACTTTTTCAAACAAAAAATAAAATAAAATAATTTTTGCATTTGTCTCATCAAGCAAAATCTAGAAGTCTAAAATGTTTTGAATTTTTTTTAAAAAAAGTTCACTAAAGTTAAAATATTTTAAAAATGTGACCAGTCAATTTCTTTTTCAAAATTATAAAAAAAAAAAAAAAAATCAAGGCTTAACTCTTATAACAAAATAAATCTTAAATTTTAAATTTTATCAATTTAAACTCTAATCTTTTGATTTATTTTCAATCTAAACCATCTGTTTATTTTTGTTGAGTAAAACCAACAAAAAAGAAATATTTTAACCATTAAATTCAATGTACGTTTATATAAAATATTTAAAATATCATTTTCATTGAGTTCATAACCAAAATATTAATTTTACTTAGCAAAAATAGTCAGTTGGTTTAGGTTGAAAGTAAATAAATAAATAAATAAATAATTGAATTTAAATTAATAAAATTAAAAATTCAATATTTATTTTATTACAAGAGTCAAACCCTAGGCTTTTCTATGTAATTCTCGCATGTGAAAAATAACTCACCAAAAAAGCAAACTCCAAACTGGATAAGCTCCTCTCCATACCTCTTTATACTCCTTACACGCACTGATGATCTAAATCGTCTATCTTGTAACCCTCGCAATATTGAAGGTCATCCATGCTAAAAATTAGCTTCATCGGACGACTATAAACATAGGAACAAATCGCATTTTGTTTTATAAAATCGATTATTTAAATTTAATTATATTTACCTTTCATTGTATAAAACAATATGCAATTTATTTTTGTATTTATAATATTATGATGAAATTGATTTTTTACATGAATGACCTTTATTATGAGATTTACGAGATAAACGATTTAGATTATCGATGCGGATTCG